GATGGTGAAGAACCACATGTATTCTTACCAACACAACGAAATTCAATCATGATGTGGCCTTTCAGCACCACCACAAAATAAAAACTGACATATAAAAATATCTATACCCTACACTGCATAATCATTGACTAACCCCACCTAAGGAATGAATTCATACCAACAGATTTGCCAGCTGCTTCACAAATATGCATTAACTCCAAGACTGATACCACGTTTTTAGACGTTAAAAAAAAACACCAAAGGATAATTTAAACAGGAAAGATTTTGCAAAGGCTGTAAGTTCACACAGAATTAGTCTCACCACGTTGAACAGATCATCTAGACTCATGCAATTGTGTGAAAAATCAGGGAAGCATGCAGTATGTTGGCAATTCAAGAAAGAGATGGGACAAGTATTTTCAGAATAAGAATTAGTCTTTCTTCGCATTTATACAGCACTTATTAGAAAGAGATGCCAGCAACTGGAGCCTCTGCTCACATGTGGTGTTGGTGGCTATAACACTACTAGCACCCTTACACAGGATGTTTTCCTAAATGGGACTGTACAGAGCAAAAAATCCAAGACTAAATAAGAAAAGGACCACAAGATAACAGTGATAAAACTTAGGCAAAGTATCAGTAAGTACTGGAGGGAAATTCTTGAATGGATAGGTAATAATATGTCAATATAAGTTTACCTAGATAAGCAATAATATATGAACAGTCACTTTTAAACTTTCCATGAAATATATCATTGCTCCTTCTTTCTCAGGATGGATTGACATCTTGCATACAAAATCAGTTTACTTGAAGAGACCCCTTGCTTTTGAAAGCACCAGAAAAGAAGAGACGAAAAATGTTGAGGCATGTTATAGAGTCTAACAAGAACTGGTTAATTTCTTGGACAGTGAGTGTGTTACCTAATATGCTTCATTCTGCTAACAGCTGAACCAAGGTCTGCAGGCAAGATATTTAGAAATGTTTTCCCAAAGTCACAATGGTTTGACTTTAATTAATGTTTGATTACCGCTTATTTTCAAGAAAACAAACCAGCCAGTCTTCGAAGTCACTTCACAACCAGAATGAAACAATTAAACCCTTTTTTTAAGAGGGTCGTGTGTTGCATCAAATATTGTATACTTGCATGGATGTAACTCAGAGTTGATTTCCCTTTTGTAAATACAAAAGAGAAACAGCACATTTTACATCACCCCAACAAGTTCTGTGAAACACTGCCTTCAGCTGCTATTGCTGAAAATCACTACTCTCAAAGCTCAAGAATCACCTTACTGTCTTTGAATTCTGCCATAAATCAATCACGTAAAACTAATCATAACTAAGAAAAAAAGACAACAAACCCCAAAAACTTAGAAATCTCAGACTTACGTGCAGAAGAACAGAAAGCCAGTATAAAGACCAAAGAAAAATAAAGAGTCAGATATAAGCCACCTTTAAAGGGCAACATTGATTAAAGAAAACCAGTATGAGACCAGAAACCAACATAACATCAGGGCATCAAATACTATCTATGATGTGTTCACTTAACTTCAAAACACTTGACTTGTTCTAATACTTTTTATTTTGCATGTTTTTTAACCAACACATCTTCAAACTTTCATATCACGTTTTAAAGTCCTTGCCATCATAATCAAGCTAGACAAGATCTGTACCCACACAGAGACATGAATTTTGTTTGACTTATCTCATGCTGGGTCCTATGCAATTTCTTTCATCAATGTGAAAATATATTTCCTATTTATGCTGACTTACACTAAGAGAAGCAATGCAACACCACAATGCCACAGGAATATAACCTAACTACTGGAAGTATCTTAAGGACACAAGTGCACAACACAGCAATCATGATCATACCAAACATCACCCATCTTTACAGGGGTTTCTGAAGCAACATTTTTATCATTGAGACTTTCCTACAAGAAATATTCCCAAGAATAATTCATTTCTGAAAACACAAAGCCAGTAAGTTTTGGCTATTGTTCCTTACAGGAATGGGGTCAAAAGTGTACAGGCTGTAGGACAGGAAGTTAAAATAACTCAAATAATAAAATGAAAATTAAGAAGTATTTTGAAGGCCAGCTGCAATTCCCAACTGGAAATCTTTGCAACAATTTCCGAGAACACAGCATCAGGCCTATAGTGTTCAGTTTCTCTCTTTGCTGCAGAAGAAAGAACATGCTCCTCTTAAGAATGACAAAATAAGGGCTACTCTTAAGAGCCAAGGAAAAAAAAATAAGTCTGCCTTTAACTCAGAGTAGTGAGTGGATTCCTCCTACTCCAGCAAGGCTACAGACTCCATAGTACAGAAATAACTAGTTCCTTTATCCTTCTTACATTTCCAAAATGGTACTTTGCAAGTTTAAATGTTAATGTTCTTTTGTTGGTTCTTGGAAAAAGAAGAAAGCAAGCCAAGCAAACAAAATCTGAGAAACAAAACCTTCAGAGCAAAGGTTTTCAGTCAGTATCTCCCACTCCATGTTCAGTTTTGCAGGGACCTTCATGCAGTGACAATCTGGTTTGAAGGAAGCAGCCAATGGGTGTGTAATTTGCATGTGAAAATATTTTTAGAAGACACACATGAATAGCATATGTTCTCAGCCTGTACAGTCCTGAATATTATTTCCCCAACATTCAGAGTTATTTTCCAGATAATGATTCCTGGTACAGATACATTACTCTTTGGAAACAACATCTACACTTGTATGTGTGTGCGCATGTATGTTTTGTTGATATACATCTCTGTGTGTGTGTGTGTATCAAGGCTTAGGCAACACCTATTTTAGAGCTTGCCCTGGGGGAAGCTGCTATATGATTAATTCTTATCCTCTGTATCTGAACATACTAATGAAAAGAGGGTGTTTTTTTTCTCCCATTACACTACATGCTCAGTGTACATGCCAAGGGGCTTCAGTCATGGAAAGAGCCCATTCCAGACATGCTTTTTAGAAATACTATAATAAATTAAAATTAATTCTTAAACTGTTTTGAAGTCTTTATTGATGATGTAATCACAAAATTGGCAAATTATGCTTGAAAACAGTGCAACAAGATTCAGGAAGTTAAATCAGGTATGTATGTTCATTTCCCTGAACCAAAGCAGCTTCAAAAATGTATCAGAAAACCCTTCTACTCTTCTTAAGAAAGAGTAAAAAGGTACCTTTTATAAAGGTAAAGATAGAAGTCAATAAAACCAGAAATAAACCATGTGCTCATACACTGTTAGTTACATATGAACCAAACTGACACAATATGCCAGAAAAAACAATGTTTGAGCAAACAGCAGCCTAAGTAGATCCCAGAGTCATTACAAGTCCGCATCTGGAACACCGAAACCAATTCCTGGTGACTCTGGAGTTTTCATCATGTAGTAATTACTACTTTAGGACTTTTACTCAGACCAAATGATGTTCTATTGTATTGTGAGATGAAAAACCTCAGTTTCCTTTCTTTGCCAACATGCAAACTCTCTTCCTCAAGCACATGTTAAAACCCAGGTCTGGAATTTTGATTTGGCCCAAGCTTTCCTTTATTCAACTTGAATGTCAGGAAGGAAAAAAGGAGGGATACCAGTAAATTATACTGTGGTACTTAACAGCATATAGAAATACTTGAAATCATAGAATAGTTTGGGTAGGAGGGGACCTTTAAAGGTCATTTAGTCCAACCCCCCTGCAATAAGAAGGGACATCTTCAAACTTGACCAGGTTGAATGTTTCCAGGGATGAGGCATCTTCAACTTGTCTGGGCAACCTGTGCCAGTGTTTCACCACTCCCATCGTAAAACATTTCTTCCTACATCTAGTCTGAACCTACCCCATTTTAGTTTAAAACCATTACCCATGGCCTATTGCTATAGGCCCTATTAAAAAATCTGTTCCCAAAATATGTTAACTTACCAAAAAAAGCAGGGGAGGAAAAGAAGGGGGGGGGGGAGATATGTTAGCTTTAAAAATCGTAACAGCATCAAGTCATGAATTCTAAGTGATCAGAGTACTGGAACCTTTTCAACATTAGTCCATACTAACAAGCAGCAAAATCGTCTACCTAATCATTCTAGTGCACACACAAACATAAGCAAACATCCTTAGCCATATCATCAGTTACAAAGTATTCACTTGAAACAAAAGCTTATGCTTGGTGGTAGCCCAATCCAACACAATGGACCCTGGTCACCCCTGAGAAAAGTGAAAACCTAAACTACAAGGAAAACAAGCTAAAAATTGCACACAAGCAAACACTGTATTTTAACCATAAATAATTATTACTAGGGCTAAACCCACTTTACTCAGAGTTCTAAAATACCACGAGTAAAATCACTGCATACATGCAACTGCCTAATGAAACTAGTTAACAACATTCTTCAGTGGACTATGTTATTTGACCAGTTTTAACAGTTAAACAGAGCAACTGCAAAAGAGATCAAATACATTGCATTGGATCCACATGCAGAAACACCAGTCTCAGTGGCTGTAGAGACAGCCAGTTCCTGCTCCTACTCAACGTATCACAAAGTGCTTCACACTCGTGATGCAAGTACACTGAAAAAAAAATAATATATATTCTCCACCATAAAAGCACTAATGAATCAAAACCCAAGCCCAGGCTCAAAAAAGTACTTCACATAAAATTATTGCCAAGTTTCGTTACAATCTTCCTCCAGTCAGGCAAATAATTTCCTCCAATAGAGAAAAGTATCTTCAAACATTAATTCAAACTTCAAAACATTGCTGTACAAATTAGAAGAACAGCTACAGTAAAATGTGAGGTTATGGATGTTACAATGAAGCCATCACACTAACAGATTATTTCACGAATATAAGTCATACAATGTAATGAGTAAGGTGCCAGCAAAGCAGAGGCAGGCAATAACAGAGAAGGCACTTTTTTTGGTGCTATCGCTAGAAAAATTTCCTGACTCATTCCCTCCTCCAGCCCCGAGATCTGTCTGCCTTGGACCGCACTGACTGACAGCCTTCTTGAAGTAGCTGAAGGAGAGCACTGACCTAAATGCCGCTGCCGTTTAGCTCCTTGCAGCTCACGCTCGAGGAAAAGGGGCCAATGTGGATTCACATACTACCATCAAAAACTGAGCTCTTTCAGCCTGAGGCTCTTAATGCAGAAATACTCGCTGACACCGAGAGCTCCACATCACCTCAGCTTCTTGAGACTGAAGCATCCAAAACCGACTGCAAAAAATGCTCTAGGCTGCTAGGAGATTTTCAACAGGGAGCGTACGCATCACCACAGTACTCAGGCAGAAGCAGGACTGACGGAACGAGCGTCTCAGTGATAGGAGAGAAAGGCAAGACGCGAGGTACTGAACCTCGGACAAGGTTAAACCACACTCTGGGCGTGATTTTAAGCAGGTGTTCAATGAATTGCAGATTAATCATCACCTCTGCCTCGAGTACGCGCAAAAGCATGGCCAGAAGCCATGCGGCTGTGAGGCGGCAGCGCGGTATTTGCCGGGGCCGCAGGCTCACGGCGGGCAGGGCTGCCGCCTTCCGCCACTGCGCTGCAACGGGCGCAGCTGCCGAGCTTCGCCCCTCGGTGGGCGCAGGGAGCCGCTACAGGGCCCTTCCTTGCTCGGGCAGCCGGCGGCTCGGTGCGGCGCCGACTCCTCGTAGGGCCTGCCCCCACGGAGGCGGGCAGGCCGCGGCCCGCACCGTCCCCTCCCACCGCGCCGCGAGGGGGAAGGGCAGGAAAGAATACCTCAGGCCCGTTCGTGCCGCCGCAGCGTAGCCCCGTTCCCGCCCAACCGCCGTTCAGCGGCTCCGCCTCCGCTGCCTGCCGGGAGCTGGGCGGGCCGGGCCGGCATGGCGGCAGGGAGGCGCCGGAAGCTGCGCAGCAGCCCCGTGGGCTGCCATGCGGGCCGCGCTTGACACCGGCGGCCGCCCCGGGGTAACGGCTGCTGAGTAACGGCCGCGCGGCGAGGGCCGTGCCCGCGGAGCTAACGTGCGGCGCGGGAAGGCCTCTGAAGGAGGCTCTTGGGGCTGGGGCCGCCAGCGCGGCGCTGGGAGGCGAGGCATGGCGGCAGCCAGGAGGTGAGAGCGGGGCCCGCGGGCTGGGGGTGATGTGTGCGGAGCTCTGCGGAGACGCGGAGCCCTCTGGGAGGCTGCTGGTGCGTGGTCGGGGCTGGAGGCGGGAGGGTGTCTTACGGGTTTCTGAATGCCGACTGAGTATTTCATGTCAGTAGCTGTGCGGTGAGGGGGCGCGGTGCGGCTGAAAGCACCCGCTGATAAAAGGATGCTCTTGGTGAGGTACTGCCGCACGAGTGTATGTGTTTGTGCCCGTTGGTCAGTGTTGTTATCTTCTGACAATTGACTCCACACACACTTCTTTCTTCTGCAGTCTTTCCATAACATATGGATCGCTCTGGATGTCGATTAAGAACTGAGGAGGCTGTTTAACCACAGCTGTACCTGCAGCAGCTGAGCACCTTGTGGTGTTGCAGAAAGGGCAGCTGCCGCCACAGGGGCCAGCACAGCCCTGGCAGTGGGCACCCTACACCCCTCTTCCCTCGTCCTGTGCTATGTCCCTTCTTGTGATCTTGCATCTCTTGGCCACATCTATAATAAACTTCACTAGTTTAGGTTGTATTTTTCTTGTACCAACTGGCATTTTTTTTTTTGGAAGGACTGAATGATTTTGTCAACAAAATGTGTGTTAATTCCTATCCCTTGTCATGTGGCCTTGTTGAACCTCATGAGGTTTGCAGTGGCCCACCTCTCAGGCCTGTCAAGGTCTTCCTGGATGGCGTCCCCTCCCTCCAGGGTACCAGCTGCACCACAGCTTGGTATCATCAGCAAGTTGTTGAGGGTGTACTCAATCCCACAGTCTGTGTCATTGACAGAGATATTGCACAGTATTGGTCCCACTATGGACCCCTGAGGGGCAGTGGTCATTACTGGCTTTTACTTGGGACACAGAGCCATTGACTGTAAGTCTTTGAGTGCAGCCATCTAGCCAATACCATAGCTGTCTAACAGTACATCTATCAAACCTGTATTTCCAAACCTCTATCTTTTAGTTGGTTTCAGTCTTCTGCCCTGTTGGCTCTGTACCTCATCGGACCTTTTCACAGGCTAATTTAACTTACTAGAAGAGCAGAAAAACTTGTGCTTTACTGATTTTATTTTTTTTTTCCTGGTTTTTGGGTTCAGTTAGTTGTGGAAAGTCTGACAAACATGCTGTTAGAGAAGGTGGGGAGAGGGAAACAAGAGGATAGAGGAGACCTCCCTGTTCTGCAGCAGCGAGTCATTAAGTCAACTCTAATCAATGAATCAGGAGCATAACCTTAATAATTACACCAGGTCCAAAGCATATTTTGAGTTACATTTTTCAAGTATTCAGGGTAAAGAAGGAAAGTAGCATAACTGGTTCAAAACATGGCCCAGTAAGCTTGAAAATGCATTCCTGTGTACTTTCCCATCTGAAATGTGGAATTTACTCGAAGCTACAATGGTTTGTTTCAGCCCTTGATACAGCAGTCTTTTAATTGGCTGGGTTTTTTTGGCAGTTGTTGACAAGTTTTGTACATTGTGCAAAGATCACTAGTAACTTGATGTAATGTTATAAATATTGAAAAGTGCAGGCAAGCCAATTGGTACCACTCTACATATGTAATACTGGCAGACCTGTTATTTGCTTGTTGAGTTTATGTCTTTGATATAAAAGGACAATTAATAATTTATTCTTAAGTGCAGTAAAAGTCTTTACTCCAGTACTGTGGTGCCGGGTGATTACAATTGAGGAAGGTATTTAAGCTCTCAGAATGGTATTTAAGCTTTAAAATAAGATCAGAAATAACAGAAAACATAACAAAACCCTTGCTTTCCTTTTGAGAGTGATGACAGGCAAAACAGGGACTTGCAGAGAAATACATGTTTTATAAACCCAAGGCAAGCTTAAAAAGGAATAACCTGAAGGTTGTTAGTGTTGCTAATCTTCTTGAGTATGAGTTATATTTATGTGGTGAGAAATTGCCTGGAGTTCCAGTCATGTGATCTGTGTATTTTATTTACTCTGGAGAGCGGAGACTGCTGCAGGCCAAAGAATTGACTAAAAGCCCCCTGAACAATAGCTAGAGACATTTTCTTGTTAGCTATAGCATGGAGAGTAAAGTTGTTATGCGTTTCAGCATGGTTGATCTCTGCACAACTTGCATGACAAAAATCAAGTTCCTGGCTAGACTAAATATATGATAATAGGGCAGAGTCACAGTGTGATAGTGATATTGCCACTGTGTGAGAAATTGGAGAGCTTGCCTTTCCTTTATAATCCAACAGGCGTGTATACTTTCAGCTAATTCATGAATTTTTAGCTTGATTGAGCATGGGACAATGCTGTTTCTTGTACACTTTCCAAATCTACTTTGAAAACTAAACATGTTCTCTAAAGCACGTGGGTTCATATTTTTATGTACTTTTATGTACCACTATTAGTTTTAAAAGTCAGGGTATTCTGTCTTCACATGCTGCAGCCTGGTAATTCTGAGAAGTGCTGCTGGAGACACTGAAAGCATCAGTAGAACACACCATCATCTGTTTTTGACCAACTCAGGTTGCTATTTAGAACTGATTTGAAATAAGTTGTTACATTTGCTACTGAGTTGGTTTTATTTATGCTCTGGTTTTGGGGTGTTTTTTAAGTATTCTGTCTAGTTCTGTAGGGTCTGTCCTTGTCCAGGATTATAAATGGTTTTGGTTTAAACTACTATTTACACAGGTCTCCAAGAATGCCTTTGGAATTTTTTTTTCTGAAATGAACTATAATATGAGTTAGTGCAGTAGTGTAAGGGTTGAAAGGACATCATGGTGTGGGATAGGATGTTATTTGGTGGAAATAATGAAAAAGGAACAGTCGTGGCTGAAGGAAGGATATTATTAATATTGATGACTTCGCAATTTAACTTGCCTTTACTTCCTTCTTAACATCTCAAGGAGATACATATTTATTCTAGGTTGTTTCATATAAAGTCAACAGGAGCAGAATGGTCCCTGTAGTTCTAAACTTCAGTGTTTTTCTGTCTGATTCAAGGTGTAGTTAGCTTCAGTGCCAGTGAATAGACTTAAGGAGCTGCATTCTGGTGTGCACTCGGTTCATACTGAAGTTGTTCTTCACAAATAGAATCATAGATCAGTTAGGGTTGGAAAGGACCTTAAGATCATCTAGTTCCAACCCCCCTGCCGTGGGCAGGGACACCTCACACTAAACCATCTCACCGTAGACTCCATCCAGCCTGGCCTTGAATACTGTCAGGGATGGAGCATTCACAGCTTCCTTGGGCAACCAGTTCCAGTGCCTCACCACCCTCACAGTAAAGAACTTCTTCCTTACATCTAGGCTCAACTTCTCCTGTTTAAGTTTTAATCCGTTACTCCTTGTCCTATCACTACAGTCCATGATGAAGAGTCCCTCTCCAGCATCCTTGTAGAAACCCTTCAGAAAATAAGTTTCTGTGTATGTGTGATATGCGAGAAGAGCAAAATTAGGCCCTGAATATGAGAAATCGTTTGAAATGGAATATTCAGTGTCATTTGTAAAATATGGAGTAGAGTTACATAGCAATGATAACTGTGGAAGAACTCTAGTTTGCTAGGCAGTCTTTAACAGTGTTAAAATAACATCAGGAGAGGTTTCCAAAAGTGACAGTAACAGCGGGATACCCTTCTGTAGTTAAGAATTGTTACATTGGCAGGATAAACTTTTAATAGTTGGTTATTCAGTAAATCCACTGTTTTGAAAGGTGCAACAGTAGCTGCCTTTTTTTTTTTTTTTTAATGCTCCTCAGCAGCGGTTTCCAGCTGTATGGGATCTTCTTGTACCCATGTTTTTTGTTCTCTCTGAGGGTTAGACGCAGTAAGTGGAGATGCTCAGGTGCAACATTCACATTTCTGCAAAGCACAGTGTACTTGGAAACTGTGAGACCTTGTAGAGTTGCACATTCAGGGGCTAAAGCTGTTAAATTTATTACATGACTTAATGGAAAGTTTGAAGTTCATAATCTGCACTAGAAAATAAGTATTTTCAGCTAAGAAAATACTCTTCTGAATTCATTTCCTCAGGATATACAGGCTGCATTATTGTTGGTATCTTTTTTTTTTTTTTCCAAATTTAATCTAATTTTTTTTTAATTGTTTTATTCACTTCTTATTTTTCAGGAGTCTTTGAAAAAGCCTTAGTGGTCATGACATTGTTACAAGTGACATAAATTAGCCAGTGGCTCAGGATGATGGATACCCAGAAGACTACAAATGGTTTGCAAGTGATTGGAGAAGGGACTGGTATAGGGAAATCGACACTCCACATGGTGGGGTATTTGGGAAAAGTCAGTTGAAACTTGTTTTACATGTGTGCAAAGTTCATATTTTTCTCTGCTTTGAGAGATTTTTAATTGGTCTTAATTTTGCAAAATACCAAAAATCTCAAAATTATTTTCCACGGAAATCTATAACAATGGCGAAAGATTAAGTAAATTTTTTTACTGGCACTATTTTTACTGTTGTTTCCATTCCTATTTAAATTTATTTGTCTTTCAAAGGTCTGAGCTTGTGTTCCCTGGCAATAAGAGACTTGTGGTTTAGTTCAAATAGAATGAAATATTGCGTAATTGTGTTGTTAAAGATGCCTTATGAAATATTTGAATATTTAAATCAAAAGATGAAGTCATTTTAAACACTATGAATATGTATCTTATATTTTTAAAATCTAGTTTACTTTTTAATACTCTGTTAGCTATTACATTTAGAAGTTGCACATTGGTTTTCAATCTTGATATGTCTGTATGTCTTACCTTGTGATAACATATGAAATACATACATTTATACTGCTTTTTCTTTTTATTTTTTTTTTCAGAACTGTAATCCCGTGGAAGCATCTGCACATGAGCATTGTCCAGTCTGCAAAGAGAAGGGCCAGATCCAAGTTTTACGGACTTACCGCATTAATTTTCAAGAGTCCATTTTTCTTTGTGGAAATCCTCAGGTATTACGCTAATTAACAGGGGGGTTTGGTCTGCATATAGGCCTTTACCTTCAGTGTTTACACCTCTCTAAGTTCAGTATTTTGGTGATGGTAAGCAGACTGTTGAACGAAGAAGCCTTGTTGCCTCTTACTTTCCAACTGCTTTTTCCACTGTATGTGGGGAGGGTATTGCAATCCCATATGGACTGGTGACTTTAAACTAGTATAGACTAGGCTAGATATGGGTCTCTGAGTTGCTTTTGCCATCCCTCCCTGCTTCTAAATAATACTGAGAAATACAGGGACGTTGTGTGGGAAGCTCGAGATCAGGTCAGGAAAGCAAGGCCCAGTTGGAATTGAGTCTGGCCAGGGATGTCAGAGATAACAGTAAAGGCTTCTATAGGTATGTTGCAAACAAAAGATAAAATAGGGATAATGTGGGGCATTTCCAGGAGGGAATGAGAGAACAGGCTACCCTGGATTTGGAGAAGGTTGAGGTTCTCAGTGAGTTCTTTGCCTCAGTCTTCACTAGCAAGTGCTCTGACCACACTGCCCAAGTCTTGAAAGGCAAACGCAGGGACTGTGAGAATGGAGACCTTAGACCCACGGTAGAAGAGGATCAGTTTCCAGATTATCTTAGAACCCTGAATGTAAGTCTGGGGGACCTGATGAAATCCATCCATGGGCCCTGAAGGAGCTGGCAAATGAAGTTGCTAAGCCACTGAAAAATCGTGGCAGTCAGGTGAAGTTCCCGATAACTGGAAAAAGAGAAATATAACCCCCATTTTCAAGAAAGGAAAAATAGAATACCTGGCTAACTGCAGACCAGTCAGTCTCGCCTCTGTGCCTTACAGGGTCATGGAGCAGATTCTCTTTGAAACCATGCTAGGGCTCATGAAAAACAATGAGGTGGTTGGTGGCAGCCAACATGGCTGAATATATCTAATGATTTCACTAAAATGCCACTTTACAGAAGTCCTACATTACATTTTTAAGAGTATGTTTTGTGGGGTTTTTTTAGATCTTGTTCACCTGAAATTGCTTTGTAGATTTCACTGTAACTTTCTTTCTTTCCTTTAGTGTATCTACCCTCTTGGTTATAAACCGTTAAACAGCATAATTACTTCTGCTGATTCAGAAAATCATCAAGTTCCACCTACTGATAAGAAAAGGAAATTGTGTGGCATCAGTGACTTTTTTCCTGTTGAATCACATCCAAAAAAAGCAAGAACTAATAATGTGGCAAATGGTGTGCACAGTATTAATACAGACCCTGTTGTCAAAAGCTGTCAAAATGGTTTATGTCTTCCCAAGTCAAGCCTACATGACATGTTACAAAATGACCCACAAAAACCTAGTATCAATGGGGAGGTGTGCACGCAGAAGGTGAATTTTGAAACAACCACAAACACCAACAACTCTAAAGAAAGTTCACCTTGTACTAGTCCTGGAGCTCAACTCTTGCCGAATTCTGAACTTTCTTCAACAACATCTGAAATTTTGCTCAACGGTGATAAAGGTTCCACTAATAACACAGATTTATGTCTTCAGTGGAGAAATGTGCATAACCTTTGTTGGTTAGATTGTATTTTGTCAGCACTGGTACACTTAGAAACATTAAAATTTCCTCTAGCAGAAGACTATAATGATGGAAAATGTTTAGTCCAGGAACTCTTCACAAAATATAATGAAGCAACTGTGCTTCTGAATACCTGTAAAAGGAGTAAAGTAAAAGGTGAGTAAATTCAGCTGTTCTTTCTTCATATCCAGACTCATCTGCTACAAATATGTGGAATTTAGTACAGTTCCCGTAAATGTGCCTTCATTCTACCTCAAGGTCACAAAAGAATGATTTGCAATGCATTGTCATGAATTTGCAGAGTAGTGTACTTTATCTAGCAGAATCCCAGTAACCTCTTTCTTGGGCAAACATGCACACTTTGAGGGAATTAAACAGTAAATATAACTTGAAATTTTTATTGTCATATCCTCCATACAGAATTTGTGATTTTTTTTGTGTAATTGAGCCTGACTTTGTTTCCTTCTTATCTGATGGTTAACATACTAGGATGTTGTTCTACTCCTTAATCTGCAAAGTAATTTCTGTTGTGGCTTATATCCTTGTATAAACGGGCAGTTGCCTTGTCGCACCAAAAATAGTAAAGCTGGGAAGATATCTTGTCTTCTGGCTCCAGCTGCACTCACTGAAGGAATACTTCCCCTAAGGTCTGCAAGCTGTGCTGTGGGTGATAGCACTTGTAACCTGTTTTAGTCAAAATTAGCCAAACACATTAACCTGGTTCATACCTTCTTGAAAGGGTTTGAGAGTGCTACATTTGCAGCTTAATAAGTTTGAGGACTAACCTCCAAGCTCAGGGGTGGTGATGGGCAGCTAGGGGCAACCTTCTGGGCAGCACAGGTGAGTCAGAGGAGGCTGTGTCACTCCAATCAACTAGTATGGCCTTTGATCAGCTCCTCTACTGTGTGTTCAGTTTAAGACTCTTAAATTAAGATCTGTTTGTCTTAGTCCTCTTGAACTGACCCACTGGTGTCTTAAGTCTGAAATTCTAAGATATCATCTATTAGAAAATTAATACTGATCTCTAGTTAGTCAGAGATGGAACCAGAGCCTTTCATTCAGTTCGATTTGCAATGTAGCCTGGGGCAGGTGACCCATGACTTGTTTTTTGCTTTGATAAATCATATATTTGAGTTTCTATTTTAAAAACATACAGAAAAGGGTAGGCAATAATTTAATAAATAGAACCTGTAAAGCAGAGCTAACAGAAGGAATTAGTCAAAAGGTATTATTGGTGGTATCCCTGTGTCCGAGCTAGCAAAAGGTTTCAGTGAGGATTACAGCTGACAAACCAACAGGCAAGGATGGGCTTTACTTCCTACAGCCTTTATATTCAGGGGCTGTTCCCAGCTGTTTTGTTGTGTTTTTTTTTACCTTCTCTTGGCCATCCATTGTACTCCATGACACCTGCATATTCTTTTAGAGATATTTTATTCTGTCTGTTGCTCATGGAGAAATTCTGGATACAAACGACGTGTTACGTTGGGTCCAAGGTTCACAGATTAGCATGGGAAGAGTTACATTGGTGGGGATCCTTCGGCAACTGCATCTGTGTAAGGACAGATGCATTGACACTGCTTGTGCAATGCTGACATATTTACATTTATGTTAGAATTTGCTTTATGGAGTAGCACTAAAGGCATAAAATAAAACAGGATATAAATAATTTCAGTTTAAATTCCATCCACAGCTTCAGGCCATAAGGTCTTTCCCCTAAGTCTCCAAATGATCCTAAATTCTGTAGCTTTTGGGGAAGCTGGGAGCTGTATTGGAACCCAACTTTGCAGCTGAAGATCATCCTGCTTAATTTCTAATATCTGATTGCACAAATAGTTCTACACCCAGCAGTGGATCTCTTCTGCAATTTTGATCAAATTTTGAAGAAGCCATTTAAATGTTTAATAGCTGCTTATATAAAAATGAATGGTACCTTTATCAAATTGGGCCAAATGTACCTAATATGGATTTTTTAGATCTTACTTCAGGCTCTTGTTAGAAAATATTAATCAGTGATAAAAATGACTTAGAATAAATTTTTTTGTGAATTCCAATAATAATGCCTGGGTACACAGCCATCAAGTTAATGGAATTTCTGTTATCTTAATCTGAAAGAGAATTGAGTCATTAAACCAGCCTAAATCATAAAGAAACATGTAACACCCCCCATGAAAGTGCAGCTGTGTTCTTCCACCATGTGTTGCATGAGGATTCCATTATAGTAAATCGGAGCTATTAGTGTCACAATATTGCCATCATTACGTGTTCAAAATATGAGTCACATCTGCAGCTCTCCTGGATGTTCTAATATCGTAAATGTGTGTAGTGTTTTACTTTCAACTCCGGTTTCTAAGCCTTTAGAGGAGAAACTGCCTGTCCCAGTAGAGTATGAAATTTTAAGGGCCACATCCGGCCTGGAGTAGTGATACAGCCACCTTCCTCCTTCCTCTTGGCCACTCCTGGGGATGCTATTTACCTTCTCCTGCCAAGGTGAAGAGTTGTTTTCTCTCAGCTCCTGTGTCTCTTAGCCTCATCACTGCTGCCTGCTGCTTTTCACCACTTTCTAATCTTTGTCTTTTCTCCCCATCTCATTATTTATTTCCTGTGTGCATCTTTTCTGCCTGTGGCCCTTGTTTGATGTGAGAGGTGGCGGTTATCCCGTTTCCTCCTGGTGAACTGTAGAGAATGGTACCTCCCTTTCTGGCTTTAGCTGTTTTAAATAATAAGGTGGTCTTTCTGAGTGAGGAGCAACTAATGAATTGCTAGTCCTTCCTAATGGTATGTGGTGTTACTTCTCCCAAGTAAGAAGTGCTAGGACAAGAGGAAATGGCCTCAAGCTGTGCCAAGGGAGGTTTAGACTGGGTATTAGGGAAAATTTCTTCACTGAGCGTGATCAGGCATTGGAACAGGCTGCCCAGGGATGTGGTGGATTCACCATCTCTGGAAGTGTTCAGAAAATGTGTAGGTGAGGCCCTTAGTGACCTGGTTTAGTGGCGGTCTTGGCAGTGCTGGAGTAATGGTTGGACTTGATGATCTTAAAGGTCTTTTCCAAGCTAGTTGCATTATTTTTTTTCTTTTTCTTTCAATAGACATTTCAGGAAAAGTGTGTTTAAATATATAAAATACAGTCCCAGAAGAGTATTAGATAGCTTTAAGAAGGTCATATCTTTCCTGGGAAAAATAATAGGTGTATCAAAAATTGTTTCATCTACCTTGTGGCATAGAATACATACTCTATTACAGGGCGAGGGGGTGGTGGTCCAGAAATATTCTGAAGTAGTTCATATATGCTTTCCAGAATTCTTTGCATTTCCAGGAACTGCTGGAAAACAGTAATTTGGGCAACAGTGGATAGGAGATTGAATGAAAATTGTTGTGGAGAACAGGTGCAGTATTTATTCTGCTCCTCTGTGCAATTTTTAAGCCTCTTTTACATAAGCTGTTTTAAAAAAGAATTAAAATTAATAGAGCAGCAAGAAACTTTTTTACCTTTTTTATATGCATAGATTTTGTAAGGAGTAAATAGTCTTAGCAGCTGCTCTACATCCTTGAATTTGTACAAGTTGTGATCATGATTGTGTAGTAGAAGTTACATTCCTGCTTGTGCTTAAAGAATGTGTTTATGTAGAAACAGCATGTTTTATTATGAAGTGTGTAACATTCAAAAGCATGTAAGCAAATTTTTGCACTTTTGATCTTAATGTTTAGGTTTTAAAATCATCTTTTAATCTCTGAATCTCCAGGGTTTGTAATGTCTGGTTACACTGTCACTGAATCATACAATGGTTTGGGTTGGAGAGGGCCTTAAGATCATCTAGTTCCAACCCCCTGCCATGGACAGGGACACCTTCCACTATATCCTTAACTGTTGTTACTATCTAACTGTTGGTACACAGTAAGCCATAATTTAAGTCAGGTCAAGTATAATTTCTGGTTAGCAGACTGCAGTAAAGTGTGAATAACTTGTGTAGATTCTTCAATAATTTTCAAATCACTTAATAACCAAACACTGACTGTTTTACCAACAGTTTTAAGCAAGTACGGGTCAATATGAAAGGCATTAACTGGCAGAGAATAAGTGCATGTTAGGGGTACGTATGTGTGTGAAAGGTTGGGGGTGTTACACATAAATACCTGAATACATTACGTATTTTTTTCCTTAGATGTTCTCCCAAAAGCAGAATCTAATCTCAATGAAATCAGAAACAGAATGTTTGCACAGCTTCAGACTCGGCTTAGATGTGAAGTTGGTAAGTAATTAGTGTACCATCTCTTCATTTACTTTCCGGAAACTCCATATAATACCTTGTATATCAGTACATAAGAATACATATGTACATATGCATGTAAGGCAGTTTTCATGTACCTAATTCTTACTGGTGACATACACATACTTTACAGTGTGATCAGCTGTTTTGACAGTTTTTGACTTTCGAGAGAGCATAATCTCGTCTTTGTAACTGTGCTTTACTCAAGAAATTGTCATTGATAACAACCTAATAACATGGATCAATCTCTTTGCTGTGAGGATTAGAAATACAGCCTTGAATAACTGCAATGAAAATAATAGTAATAAGCTTATTTTCTTCCTTTTTGAAGTACTGGAAGCTGATTTCAAATAGTCAGTGACTGTTTCTTCTGTCCCATCTTTGCAGGTAAGAAGGAGAGTCCAGTGTTTGCACTGCCTCTGCTTTTACAGCTGGATCAACAAGCTGAGAAACTATTCTTGCATTCATTTTCATGGAAGTTTGAATGTGTATGCTGTGGCTACAAATACCAGAACCGGTGAGGTTTTTATTTAAGTAGCTTCTATAGAACTGTTCTGTCCGTTGCTTTAAAACCTGCATATAATAGTTGATTTTCTTCGTATCTCCAGATCTCACCAACAGCATAGGCTTGTGGGTGAAGTTTTAAGTGCTTTAAGATCTGCTTTTTTAGGTTAGTGTCTAGGGAAACCATGTTGTCACTTAAAAAAGAAATAATAGGTAATTGTGTGAGTCCCTGGCCATACTCTGAGATTTTGCTGAGAATTGTTGTGGTTCTAGCAAATACAAGCCTAGTACACTTTTGTTATTGAGGAATGTCTGTAATACTCATTTGGATTACAAAGAATCAGAGATTCTCCCACATGAATTATCTATTTAAAATAGTATTACAGGGAAATAATTTCTTGAGAATTTATTTACTTCTATGTAGCTGGAGGTACAAGGTTGTAACTTAAGCTCCTTTAAAGTCAGCGGGAAGAGAGACACCTTCAGAAGACTGCTCACAACTTGAAAAATGCCTGTTTCTCTCTGCTGTCTTAGGTTTATGCAATAGAATTCTAGATCCACAAGTGAGATGAGATTAATGCTGTTAGTTACACTGCCAGCTACTGTATGGTCCTGGTTAATAGGATGTGTTCAAAGGCCTTTGTTACATACTCTGGCTGTTTTTTAAAAGTCGAAAAACGAGGTTAGGTTGAATATAAAGGAAGTCCTTTCTGTAGCTAATGAATGAATATACTATGTTATTTCACTTTAATATCCCGTAGGTTGTATTTTTATACAGTGTAACCTCTGTGTAATCTCTGCTGCCAGTGTACTGTTTTTTGAAAACAAGACCTTGTATAAGATGGATTGTGAGGTAATTTGTTGCCTCTTCCTCTCTCCTTGAGATTCTGTGTTAGCCAGTAAATTGCGCAGAACCTGGTACAAGGTCTGTCTTCTGTTGGAAAGGAAACAGACGTAACATGCTTAGGGGGAAAGAGCAAATACTGTGAAACTGAAGGCCACAGAGCTCCTGAAAACAAGTGGTGACTTTCGGAATCCACACAAGTGGCATGAATATGAATAGATTTTGGTTTTGCCTTAATATTTGTATAACTTTTCTCCTAATGTGTGTATTTATTGTGTTCTGATCAGCAGCTCATTTTAACACTTTTTTTTTTTTATTATTTTTTTACTCTGTGTCTGTACCCAGATTAAGGAAAACACTAACAACATTCACAAATATAATCCCTGATTGGCACCCACTCAATGCTATCCATGTTGGACCATGTAATAACTGTAGTGATAAATCTCAAAGAAGACAGATGATTTTGGAAAAGTAAGTTTGAATACATGAACTTGAAAGTAAAATATGTAAAATGCTGAGAATTTACTGAACATGTCACTTTTAAAAGCAAACTATTATCTTGGGTTTACAGAGGTTCTAAGCATTAAATTCTGGTAAATACTCACTTTTTAAGATTATAGATAATTCTTAAATTCTGAAATGACAAATAGTGTTTAATAAAGATGAAACAGAGAGCAGTTTTTAACATGCTGACTAGCGCATGTGTTTGAGCCAGGTCATAAATACTTACTTCCAAGTAATAAATATGGACAGCTGATACCCAGTGTCAGCCATGTCACACCCCCTGCCATTGGTGGATAAAAATGTTGTTTGATTGTCCATTTACAAATTGGACTGCAGAGCGATGTCCCTTCCTACTGTGGTTATGGCACATTTGTGTCCTATTTTTTTCACATTTTCCCTACTCCCCAAATCCTTTACATGGTACTGTTTTTTCCCTCCCAGTCCATAACAAAATGGAATATACAGTTGGGGTATTCTTATCCTTTGACTACTGTGCAATCTGAAGAGTCCTATGTGGGAGTAGAATAGAAAGGGCAGGACTCTTTAAGACACTTTTTCATGAGAAACTTGTGCCACTCTTTCGTTGATATAAACTGATTCTTTATCGTTTCTTTATCAGAGTACCCTCAATATTAATGTTACATTTCGTAGAAGGCTTGCCACATAACAACCTGGAGAGCTATTCATTTCAGTTTGAAGAAAACACCTACAAAATAACATCTGTTGTTCAGTATCAAACAGATAAGCAACATTTCATAACCTGGTCTTTGAATTCTGATGGTAAGAACCATAAATTCTATTGTAATACTTCATGAGTCCACATCAAATACTGTTTTAGGGGTTACTGCAATACTCTCAACAGTCCGTATATAAGAATGAGGATTTGTTTTGTCTGGATTCCAAACTTCATATTAAAATTTTGTGAATAATTGTGGGAACTTTGTTACTCAGGGGGAAAGTTTCAGTTTGCTTAAACTGAAAAAGTGTCTTGCCCTATGCTGTACTCACTGGCAAAAGTTATTTGGGTAAAGTTGTTTTCCTTGATAACTTTGTAAAAGTTAAAAAATACAGTGTGAGCACAGCTGTGGGACATACAGTATTGATTAGTTTGAAGTCAGTTATTAATTCGTTCTTGGCTGAAAGCAGAAGAACGTATGCAAGTACCAGCATTAATGAAGTTTCTTTTCATTTCTGAACTTTATTGCACTTGAGGGGTGGGAGGTACAAATCTATGTTAGAAATGTGACTAATGGTGTGATGGTTGTACCATTGACAGGAATGCCATAATCAGAGAAGAAGGAAAGTTGATATTTTGATTCTCATGCTTCCATAAAGAGAAGAGTGCAGTCTTATCAAGTGTGATAACATGAAATTTGTCTAAATCACAGTGCCAGAGTTTAAGAAGTAGGGGGAGGAAGCAGCTGGGAAGTGCCTAGTTAGGAACATCCTATACATCCTATATATCTATTTTTAAATTCTTACAGCTGTAAAATATTTGCTCACGATCTGTGAACAATTTGCAGAAGGTGATGCAGATTATTAGATGAGCAATTTATCTTTAGACCCTGTGCCTCCCACCCAGCCAATGTAAAAGCCTGCATAGAAACGTTATTTGAGAGCTGTCTCTTCTCTCAGACCTGTGCAGGTGTTTTCAGACAAGATGTCAGCATCATTAGCTTAGATAAAAACAACCCCTTAGCTTACTTTTTTTGTGTTGACCTGTAATAATATTGCTGCAAATTCTGCTTGTGTTTGATCTTTTTCCAGTGGAAATCTCCCAGTTTTCTCTGATGTAATAAAGAATGGAGAAAACCTTTGTTTTCTGCTTGCCAGGGGAATGGGGTAATACAAATATTTGGCAAGTGTCTGAGGATAGTGACTTCAATTTTAAGTCTTTGAGTCTCTCCACTGGTTGCTATTTATTTTGCAGGAAGTTGGCTTGAATGTGATGATTTAAAGGGGCCATACTGCAAGAGGCATATAAGTTTTGAAGTTCCTCCTTCAGAGATTCATATTGCTATCTGGGAAAGGAAAACATCACATGTGCCAGAAGAAGCGAATTCACAGTTCAAGAATAGAAACATTGAAGATTTTCCTTTTAATAATGTACAGTCAAATTCCACAGTGTTGCACAGTGATTCTGGTAACACTGTAGACAAAACACATGCAGAACATCTCAAAGAGGATTCTGCAAGGAATCCAGGTGAGAAACAGCAGCAGGTAGCTGAGGATGAAAGTATTGTGCCAGATTTTCTAAACCATGAGGAACGTGATGGTCTTGCAACACTGATGCTTGAAGAAATTCAAGTTAACTCAGAAGGTAAATCACTGCCGAATGGACAGGTGGTGGGAAATAATCCTGTTGTTGAAATGGGCACACCCCAAAAGCAGGAATTAGATCTTTCACCTAACACTCTGTGTACAGGAGGGTTTGCTGGAACTAGGCTAGCTATGACCAATAATTGCATGTTATATGAAGATTCCAGCATCTGCTTATCTCTAGAAAAGTTGAACTCAACAAATATTACTCCTCCTGTGCCCAAAACCCACCACCCTGACCCATCTGACTCACTTGCTCAAAGAACAGATGGCAGAACTAATTTGCATGGAGGATTAAATTCAGAACTACAGCTAAACAAGAAGTTGTCGCCAGTAGAGAATATACAAAAATCACCCGACTTAAAAGATGCAAACAATACTGTAATGAATTCTCAGGTCGCTGGTTCTGCTGCTGCCAATAATTCCTTTCAGCCTTCACACAAAGACCAAAAAAGAGGATTTGTAGGAAGCTGGGTAAAGAAATTATTAAACAAGAATAGTTCTTTTATGCCTTTGAGTGCCTCAGCTCTCAAGAATGGGAGAAGTTGCAAAACTCCCTCAATGCAAAAAATAAGTGAGGTGCGGTTGCCAGCTAAGGGGGCAAGTAACTTTGGTGGATTTCAAAGCAGAGGTACAAACAAAACCACAGAGGCCCTGAAGGCAGTGGTTCCTCAGAGCAATAATACTCATCCTTTATCAGCTTTCAGAGGATTTTCTCAAAGCACTCGTCTTCCAACAGCAAGTCATACCACTACTGAAGGCCCAACTTGGACTAAGTCAGGAAATACTTTAGGTACCTCAGGTAAAACGACTCAGTTCCATTCACATAGCCATAACTCTGGGAAGGCAAAGGAGTCAGATTCTGACCAAACAAAAAAACTTCGGCTAAAACTGTTAAGAAAACTTAATGCTAAAAAGAAGAAGTTGGCTTCATTAGATAGGCTGGCAGTGGAACAGGTGAAACATGGAAAACTTGTGAATGGAGATGTAAGCACTGCACCACAGACTGAATCTCACAATGACAGTGAATTATTGCAGAGCTTTTTAAGGGAGCTGCAGTGTCAGATTGATGCTGCAGAGAGTGAATCCGAATTCAGCACAAACTCTGTATCAGGGTGCACTGGTAATGATGAAATACTGGCAGAGTTACTGTCCCCTTCTTCAACAGTTGCTTCTTTAGAGGCTCCAAAAAGTGAGGATGAATGTATGTATATGGAAATGGTGGATAGCAGTGTTCCAACAACAGCGTCTGATGAGAAGACCAGTGTGCCACATGCAACGGTGACAAGTGGGGATCATAATTATTACAGTCCTGTAAAGGACAGTAATTCAGAACTTCATACAGTAAGCAAATCCAGTGTGAAAAAACTTGCTTTTGAAAGTCCTACAAGGGAGGACATCCTTGAAGACTTGTTCTCCATTTCAGCACCGAGCTCAATGGCAGGTGACATAGACTTACCTCATTTTGATGAAACTTTGTTTGAAACGTGGTAAATATTCGGTTTTTTGGGTTTGAGTATTTTTCATTATTATGTATATTTTGAAACAAAGCACTATTAAATTATATTTTCTAACTAGTTTAATTGCACACTGGGTGTACTTGAACAATTTCTATTTGAGGTTGGTTTCTTTTATTATTTTATTGTAGCAGACAATAAGGTTTTAATGCATTTTATTATTCTGAGAAGTAGTTATTTTACATGTCAGATATAACTACAACTTTTAGCTTAAAAACACCTATGAGTCTTCATTTTTGCTGTTTTTAATATGGAAAACTTATCCATATTCTACTGAGTTTGAGAAATAATAAACTTCAGTAGTTTTAATGATGTAATGGTGTAAGAAATACTGTTCAGGTAGTAGTGATCACCCAATTCCTGAAGTTACTTTATCTGACATCTAAGAAAAATTCCAAGAAAACAAAAGTACCTTCTGTAACCAGAGATATTTGCATCCGTTGATACAAAGATCATTTGCAACAGTAAACTGGAGGCTGGTATTCTGCTAGGAACTCTGTTCTCAGAATTACTGCTGTGTAAGTTCACCCTGATGTGTCCACCCCTTGGATCCAAGGAAGGGCAGATGCATGGTAGAAATTTTCCTATTTAAATTTACAGCATGTACTGGATTTTAATCCTGGGTAACTGAAAATATAATTTGGCAGAATATTCTTCTGAGCCAGGTTATTTTTAAAGTAAAATTAATAAGATTCAGGCCAATGTTTGCAGCACTGAGAAGGAATTTCGGATGTAACTTTACATTATTCATAGCTACAAGTTCATTAATAGAAGAAAGGTTTCTAAGAATTCAAATCAGTTGTAGTTAACACCCATTACAGTTGTCACTAGGAGATTTTAGAGTAGTGCACCCCATCTATATGTGAGAGTGCCAAGGAGAGGCAAGGCCAATAGGAAGGAAATGAACATTGTGTCAAGGCAGCAGAGAGTAAGCAGAGGGATTCACATCTTGGTGTTTTGGGATTTGTATAGCTTCCATTTTGCTAGTTGGGAATCTTTTATATTCACAGACAGACCTCAGGACGTTATATGCTAAATTAGGTTAGTTGTACATTTTTCTTGCACTCAAAAATACCAAGATTTTTCCCAGGAAGTCCTTATTTTAGCCAGTTTCAGAGGTATTCTGCTTTTTTTTCCATTGATTTAGAGCGAAGTTAAATGAAAAAAGTCCTCAATCTTGCTCTTCCAATAGGTGCAGTTGAACATACTTGGTATTACAAGGCATGGCTACAGATTTAAATGGTCTTGGATTGCTTGAACCAGGTTCAAGAAGTGTTAGAAAAACTGTCAGCAGCACTGAACTCACCTTGCCAAGCATTTCTATTGCAGTTATGTACATGTTTATGGAACTGGCACTTCAGACAAGGAATGGTTTAATTCTTCAAATGTAAATCTTTGTAAAGAACTTGAGCTCCTTCTTTGTTTTCAGTGTAATCGGTAAGGTTACAGTACAAAACAGATCAATGGATTCTGAATGCAAAGTGCCGGTGTACTGCTGGTGAGATACTGGCCTGTTATGAATTCCCTTATTAAAAATCCTGAAATGCTGACCAAACTTAGCGTTTGATTTATCTGTGAATAAACTAGGTGCCTCTGCAAGACTTGAGGGGGGGTGATAGGATTTTCCTTTGGAGTTTTGCAGCCAGTGGTTTCTATATATGCAAACCACTAAAAAGTGGTGTGTCTTCCAACCATGACTACTTGTAGGTTTCCCCAAGCACTGGGGAGCTGCCTTCAAGTACAGGTACTGTCTGTGAGTGAGTGGCAACTACATGCAGCTGTGGAGTCGGAACTCCCTCACTGCTGGCTCCGAGCATGACACAGACCAAGGGGTGACTGAAGTGCCAAGCCTGGAGTTGGCATGATGCAGAATGCATAGGGCACCACAAGGAAGAGACCTCCTGATGTTGTTAGGGGTCCTCAGTCAGCAGCTGCATGGATATAGTGTGGGTACACACACATGTAGAAGATCCAGGAGCACCTGAGATTAAAGTGAGTATGAAACTAAATCTGTTAGTGCCGCAAATTCTTTGCTGCCTTTTATTTTCCTGAAATAGCTCGCTAAAGATGATGCTGTGCAGCTTTGTCAGGTTCCATAAATGTTTTACTACCTCTGAACCTCTGCAAGTGAGAATTCAGCTGAGATTGAATGAGAACCCCATAACCAAAGAAACCGTTTGGCGTTCAGTGGTTGGACTTGTTTTGAGACTAGCCTTAAAATGCTGTTTATTTGCCATGAAAAGAACACAAAGTATTGTGTTAGTTTTCTGTTAATCAGAAGTATGCTAGGTGGGCATATAGCAAATATGATTAATGAGCAGAAGTTAGTCACTGTATTTTGATGATTTTATCAGCATTACAGAGTAAATAGCCCAATAGCTTTGAGCACTTGATATTTTACAGGTGTCTTCCCCTCTTGCATCACATAATATTGTCAGTCTGTCTTCTGATTTGGGAAGGGCACAACTGTGCTACTCACAGATTTACAGATTTTAGTTCAGAATCAGCTTGGACACTTTGATTCAGATCTTACTACTTAATGATATATTAAAACAAGAGTACAGGGGAAAAAAAAGGACTGTCTCACATGCCTGCAGTGAACCAGCCCATCTGCAAAGGAGCTGCCTGGATGGGTTTTTAGCTGTATAGCCACTAGAGCACTGCTCTAGAAATTTGTTGTGGTGCTCAATACAAAACTGATTTTCATCTTTATGTTTTTCATAACATGGCTGGCTATTGCTGTTTATTCTTCCAGCATTGGTTCTTGCTTTAAATAACAATTCCCTTCCTGACAATGTATCAGTGACAGCTGCTGCATCCTATCTGTGTTCCTTTTGCAAAGCTAAACAGCTGCTGTTCTCCAGGTAGCATCTTTGCACTCAGGGCAAAGCACATTAGATTCTGAGCAGATAATCCAGTTCTATGTGTGTTCTATGCTTTAAAGTCCACCAGGATGCAAACTCTGAATGGAAGAGCTTACAGCCTGAGCAAAGATCTGAGCGTGCAGACAGAGCAAGAGAAAGAATAAGGTTAACAGGGTTCCGAGGCTGATGAAGTTTGAACTGCTATGCACAGACAGTGCAGATGTTTACAGGGTGATGCTGGAGCTGCACAGCGAAGGAAAGCACGGTGAAGCCATGGGGCTCATTAAGAAAGCAAATGCTGGGAACAGCGTGGAAAGAAGGTCTGGATGACCTGCTGGGGTCAGAATACCTCCAGCTCATGTTTCCTAGAGAAGCTGTAGAAGCCCTCAGGAGATGTTTCTCCCTGGACATGGGTCTGTATTGCTCTTTTATGTAAATGACTATCAAAAGGGGCTTCTCTGATGCCCACAATGGGGTTTGGGAGCACCTGGTGAAGAAGCATCTGCCTGCTCCTGTGTACAGAAATGGGCTGTGGTCCTGTTGCAGAACCTGTCAATGCAGATGCCAGAGGCGGAGAGCTGGAGTGGGAGAACCCCAAGTTATATTTCTCTTTTAGTGGAGTGTGTGTGCCCAACCTCGTTGGCTTAGAGAGAGGGCGGCCCATTTTTTTATATATAAAATACGTATTTGAGCTTTTAAAGTGTTTTACAGTTCTTCATAACATAACCACCTTTTGTGTGGGTTGTTTTATTTGTCTGTATCCCTGTTTTCTCTGGCTCACTCTATCGGTGTAGCAAAGAAAGAGATTTAAGTGACAGAGAAGGCTGTGAGAAAGAAGTTGAGCATTTGAATTTCCTAATATAGCACTTTATTCCAGTGAATATCCCTCTGCCTTCAAGCCTGGCTTTGCCAGGGCAAGAGAAGATTTTAAATGCTTTGTACTGCAGCACCATAAATGTTATCCTTAAGGGGCATTATCTGCAGCCCAAACTTAAGCAGTTCCTGGGACCAAATATCTTCTACATCTGTGGCTGTTCAGGAGAAGCAGTGAATGCTATTAATTTGATGGTGGAATCATACCAGTTTTGAAGGTTTTGTCCCATCTCAGTCTTTCCCTTCAGCCTGAAACAGGAACAGCCCAGACTGTTTTCCCACCATCTTCCTTATATGCACTGCAGAAACTTTACCCCCTCTGCTGAGACCTGTTTCTCCTCCTTTAGGTCATCCTTCCACTCAGATGGGGAAAGTCTCCTTGCAGAGGAGAAGCTTGTGCAGGGGAATGAGCGAGATCTCCCTTATAAAACACCCAGCCCTGCCCTTGCCTCCCCCGGCATGGAAGGCAGTTTGTGTTCTCCTCCACCGGGACACGTGTGGGCCCCACCATGCGTAATGTCTTCCACGCTGTGCGCGTTTTGATGCAGGAATCTGGAAAACTGACGTCTCCCAGGACAAAAAAGGGACTAAAAAAGCTTTCGTGTTTCCGCCCGGTTTCGAACCGGGGACCTTTCGCGTGTTAGGCGAACGTGATAACCACTACACTACGGAAACACCCGTTAGGAAACATTGTTTCTGCCGCCACCTTTGACCGAGCACAAGGGGCGTGGCGGCGTGGCACCGATTCGCTTCCGCCGGCAGGGGACGAGGGGAGACTGCTGCTGCTGGAGGCAGAGGCCTGGGGCTGTGCGGGGACCTCCAGCAGCTCCCGGCGGTATAAGGGCAGCGCAGGACGGACCCAGCGGGGGAGGAAAAAGACCCAACACCATAAAAAGTCACCTTCCGTCCCTGGGTGGGCTCGAACCACCAACCTTTCGGTTAACAGCCGAACGCGCTAACCGATTGCGCCACAGAGACACGCTGCGAAAGGGGCCCCCCAAGTGGTTACTGATGGCCGCACACCCCCGGTCCCCTTGTCACCCGCACTAAACCCGTGCAGTTGCGCATTGTGCTCCTGCAGTTCTTCCAGCGCGCTGCGGCTGCGGAGGGCGGGCGTGGTGCCTCTTCCAGCAATACCAAACAGACTGGCTGTGGCCAGAAACCAGAGGAACAGAAGGCAAAATTCATCCCGCAGTGGTCAAAGACCTTTGGTAATTGTTTGCAAGAGCTAATGGAAAGTGGAAGCAGTGACAGACATGAGTCAGTGTGAAAGAAACATCTCAAAGGGGAGCAGAGCGGGAGACCCAGGAATCTGCTGCCCAGGCAGTCTCGCTTCCACTCTATAAAGTCTATAAATGAATTATTAAGCAATCAATTTTCAGCCATCTAACAGGTGTTAAGGTGATAACAGCAGCTAACATGAGCTGTGAAAAACAAGTCATGCCAAAGGAGTGTGATTTGCCCTCAGGAATGCCAGGTCTCAGAGACAGAGGAGAAAGGCTGGTGTAACCTGCACCCACATAAATCCATTGGCCATAGTACCTACAAGCGCTGAGGGAACTGGTAGATGTCATTGCAAGGTCATTTGTCATATTTGATCATGGCAACTGGGAGAAGAGCCCCAGGGCTGCAGGAAAACACATGTCACCCCCATCTTCAAGAAGGGCAAGAAGGGTGACCTAGGAAGCTTCACTTTGATCCCTGGGAAGGTGATGAATCAGCTAATCCTGGAAACAGTCTTTAGGCACATCAGGGACAAAGAAATGATCAGTAGTCAACACGGCTTCACCAAGGCAAGCTGTGCTCTACCAACTTGATAAACGTCCATGATGAAGTGGTTGGCCAGGTAGCTGAGAAGGTGGCAGTGGATATTGTCTACCTGGACTTCACTAAGGCATTTGACGCTGTCTCCTGTAAGATCCTCACAGAGAAGCTGTGTATGTATGGGTTGGATAAGAAGATGGTGATGTGGATTGAAGACTGGCTGAACAGTTGGGCCCGGAAGATGGTCATCAGTGCCTAGATCTAGTTGGAGGCCAGTAAACTAGTGGTGTAGCCAGGGATCAAAGCCTCTCAACATCTCCATTAATGATGTGGATGATGGAGCAAGAGTGTATCCTCAGCAACTTTGCAGACAACACCGAACTCAGAGGAGTGGCTGATACATCAAAGAGTCATGCTGCCATCCAGAGAGACCTTGATGGGCTGGAGAAATGGGCTGACAGGTTCCTCATGAAGTTCAACAAGAAGTGCAAGGTCCTGCAGCTGGGGACAAACCCCATACACCAGTACATGTTGGATGCTCCCAGCTGGAAAGCAGCTTGGCAGAAAGTTGAACATGAGCCAGCAATGGGCCTTTGTGGCAAATGCAGCGAATGGTGTCCCGGGCTGCATTACCCTAAGCACTGCCAGCAGGCTGGGGAGGGGATCCTTCCCCTCTGTTCAGCACTGGTGAAGCCAGTTCTGGGCTCCTCAGTACAAAAGAGACACAGACTACTGGCAATGTTCTAGCAAAGGGCTGTGGAGATGATGAAGGGACTGGAGCATCTCCAGCAGGTCATCAAATATGACAAATGAACCCGAGCCACAGGGATGTCAGCAGTAAGGGCAAACTTTATTGAGTAGGGTGGTGGGTGACACACAAAGGATGAGGAGGAGGCTGTGCCGGGGCCCTGAGGGACTTTGGGCTCTGTCTTCAAGCACCGTGTTTTGAGCTGAATTTGTACAAATGTAGGATGTTGTCTCCTACATAGCAAGGAAGAAGTCAAAGAAGTCTGGGCAATGTGGAGAAGGAGGGGTTTCCCGGGCTGGCCATGCAAAATGAAGACAGCATTTACACCACTGTAGCACTGCCCTTCTCTTTGTGTTGCACTTCACATTTCCAGCTCTGATCATGCTCTCCTTGGGGTTTTGTCAGGCCTTGGAAGGGATGCTGAAGCAGACTGATGTGACAGCACGTAGTCACGCACTGCATATAAGTATGTATTTGTTGGTTATGTGGTGCTTTAAGTTTGCAATGTGCAGTGCTAACATTAACCAACCAGTCCAGAGGACTTGTGTCCTGTTGCATGTATGATAAAGCATGAGAGCTGTGTGTTGCCTGACAGTTACACACAGAAACTTCGCAGAAGCAGCTTTTATTTTATTAGGAGATGTCCTTGCAGCCGAGTGCCGAGCAGAGTGCATGAGAGGAGAAATGAGCATCCCAACACGTATTCACAGATCAGTGTTCCCAGTCCCTTCCCCTTCAGCGCGAAAGCAACCTACAGAAGGATTCTTTTACCTGGAAGCTCAAGATTTCCAGAGGAGGGGATTCAATGTGCGGGAAGCCTGGCAGCTCAGCTGGGAAAGCTCGCTGGCTTTGCACATTCTGATGAGCTTCACGGCTCACTGTGGCAAGGTTATCTTCCTCAGACAGGAAGATGTGGGTGTCACACAGCAATGCAGTGAGCAGAGGGGCTGGGGTCTGACAGCAGCTGCTGAGGTACCTGTGCCTGGAGAGCATGGACCACACTGGGTGTTGCAGCAAGCGCAGGCATGTCCGTCCCTCGCCCTTTTTTTTGCCTACTTGAGAAAATCCCCTATTTTGAATAGGGATATGATGGAGGTGTCTTGCACTGACCTTTTTCCCAGGTGGACAGGGTTTTCCAGTGGTGCCAACTTCACCTGACCCAGTGTATCCCGCAAAAGAAGGAGACACAAGAGCCATCCAATGGAGGGAACAATTTAACGTGTAGCTGTGGCAGAAGCTCTTTGCAAAATCATTTTGGCCCCACCTTAGCCCTCCCTTGCCAAGGCAATTCCCCAATTTGCAGAATCATTACCAGAACCTCCTTTCATCCTGCAGCTACTCCAGTGCCAGAGAGTATGAAATGACAATGTTCCCCCTGCCTGGGGGTTCTGCTCTGTCGGACTCTATTAGCAAGCGTTGCTATGCTGTGGTAAAGGCAAGGGACGGCTCTTCTATGTCCCTCACACTTGTTTGGTTTCCTCTGCCTTTCCTCAAGCAGAGCGCTCAGAGCGATGTCACACTAATAAAAACACAAACCCCTGCAGTTCTTATTTTCAGGCAGCCATACCAAACAGATTCTCTCTGGCAAAGCTGTCTTCTCCCTCACACCCCCAGATCAGCTTAGCAAGCCCCGGAGTTGATGTCATGTGTTTCTTTTTGCAGAGAGAAGGGTGAAGCCCTGTTCCCCTCCTCTCATATGTGAGGGATGACTTTAGAGTGAGCTTTGGCAAGAGGAAGTAGTGAGCTGGGTTTGCAGTGGTGCTGCCAGCAGGTCCTACAGTGCCAAGAGGTGCCAGGGACAGGCAAGAATTGGAAGGGGCAGAGCAGGAGAGCAAAGAAGGGCCAAGATTACGGGGAGAGGCGCTGATCAGCAGCAAAGCAAAGAGGAGGAAAGCAAAGAGCAGGATGAGGAGGAAGTGAAGGCATTGTCAGCTCAGCCCTTGACCTGGCCAGTGAATGGGTGTGGGGTGGGAGCTTGGGTCAGCCAGCTTGGAAACCCGCTGGCATAAACTCCGTCTATGGGGGTTTTTAGCATTATGGTGACTTCAAACCTTAGCAGCCTCATTCCTACCCCCTTTAACATGAGAGTCCTGCTGAACTGAAGCCACCTTTGGGAAGTCTTTGAAAGCAGGGAAGTGTGTGTGTGCAAGTTGGAGCAGATCTCAGAGCGGGCTCATCTGCTTTTACTGTCCCTTGTAAAACAAAAGCAAGCTGCAGGCTGTAAAACAGGTAGAAGAAAGTGAAGGATCAGTGCCTGCTGTGGGAGGATGACTGGGAGTCCTGCCGCCATGTGTCCATGCACGGGTTCTTTCTTCACAGTCACAGTGCTAGACTCTGCTTGGACAATATTCCTCCCTTGATTTAATTCCGTAACCACTTCTAGGTGGCGGAGTTTCCTCCTCAGAAGATTAGTGGACGCTTAGCATTAAATACTATCCTTAAATACCAGCTATGATCCTGTGCTCAGGAGACCTCAAAACATGAACTTTGATGCTCAAGTAAGAAAAGACCATTTTGTGGGAAAAATAGAATAAAAACGTTCTCAAAGTGCTGTTGGGCTTCTCTCTTTGTTCTTGGGTTTGTTCTTTTGTTGGTTGTCTTGTGTTTTCTTTTCCTAAAGCAAATTCGCCAAGTGTTAAAACCAGGCCAAATCTAAACCTTGATACATTTATGGCCTTGCTCCTCACACAGCTGTGTGTGGATGGAGTGTATGGAAGGCTCTCCCAGAAGGACAGCTTTGTCCTATTGAGTTAACACTAAGTCAGAACTCACAATGTTAATCACCTGCCTCTCAGACAGCATGTTTCTTTGTATTTGCTTGTGCCCAAAGTACCTCAGTGTTTTCCATATCTAATAATGCAGATGATAATAATTTGCATGATAGAGAGACTGGATAAGAGCTGTAGACAAATGTGTCCCTCCTGAACAAGGTGGATTTTGCAGCTTGGCTCCTGTTGGGAACTCCCATGGAATGTGTCCCATTCAGAGAGTGGTCACCAGTTATACTGTCATGGTCTGGATGCTAGGTGGCACTCAGACATTCCGGGTACCATGTGGTGGAGTAGAAACAGAAAGATGGGGCAGAAGTTGTCGAAGGCTCAGTCTGGTGAAAATACTACTTGAATTAGTGTTAAATCCCTACTAAAGGCAAGAATTTCTTGAAGGCTTTTCCCTATCAGAATATGGGCAAAAGGGAGCAGAGCAGTTAGGGGCAGTGAGTGATGTGCACTTCGGATGAGGATGCTTTCCACTGATCTGACAGAAGCTCTGGGACTTTCTGCAGATGTCCAGCACTGCAGCCTGTGCTTCTCTGCTGTCACAGGGTCAAAGCTGAGGTGTGAACATTACATAGCAGTTATGTTCAGCTGTACTGGGGGTTGACTACTAAAACTGGGGTACAGCTGTGAAGCCTGAGCCTGATGAATGCTGGCAGCTGTCATAGTCTTCCAAGGAGTTATTGATATAGATATATTCCTACATTATATATTCTCTTAGATCCCAGACACCTAACCTCTCGCTTCTCTGCGCTTCAGCTGTGTATGACGAGTGAGTGAGCCTGTGGCTCTGCTTCTCTGACAGGCACCTGAGTGCAGGGTGAAGTGCTGCCAGTCTCCTGTGAAGCCACGGGAAGTGTTAATGATTCAAGTTAAGAACGACCTTCACTTCCTCCTTGTGTGCTTGTAGGGCTGGGCTGCCAAAGAGGCTGCAGTGTCCGCCCTGGCAGCCACAGGCAGAATGGACCAGGAAACCCTGGGAAGCGTTGTCCTCCTCGCCATTGTCACCTTGATAAGTGTTGTCCAGAATGGTAAGACAAAAATAAGGATTTGCTTAAGGGAAAAAGGGGACTCAGAAAAGTTCAGGATGATGTATGCTGATCTGAATTTTGAATAGATAATCTCTGGTTATAATTGTGTGTATGCTTAGACATGACTTTGGCTTTAGAAATGAAATTATTTTCTAAACATGTAATATTCCATGCTGTTATTGCAGTACCTTGGCAGTCGCATGGTCCTAGTCTATGATATTCTGGAGTGAGTTTGTTATACAGATGTCAGCTAATGAAAGGACTAACATGCTGGGGTACCCTGTGACAACATACATTTCAGTTTGATGAATGAGACTTCCTTCCCTGGCTGAAGTCCCTAATGTGGGCAGGCAGAGCTGCCCTGCAGCCAGAACCTTGCCACCATGGTGAGAGGCTGGGGCTCCGGTGGGCTGTGATGGGTCAGACCTTCACACAGAGCTGCACGAAGGGGTCACAATTGCACCAGCTCATCTGAGGACTGTTTGGGTTATTTGTGGGCAGGCAACTCTATTGCTTTCCTGCATCTCCAGGTCCTGCAGTCCAACTAATCTCAATTAACTGCAGTCCCAAGAACACTGCGTATTTCCTGTAATGGAGAAGTTTCTTTTTTCAGCTCTTATTCAGACCTCTATAGTCCCTACGGTTCTTCAGGGTCTTTTAAATAAAACAACAAGTTTCTCTTCTCATTTTAATTTTATCATCATCTCTTGCAAGTCCTTAAGCAATTTAGCAGGAAATTCAGCCCAGAATACGGAGAAGGGAGTGTGTTTTACCCCAGGTACACTGAGGTGGCCCAGGTTCAAGGAGAGCCAGCAGTGCGATGAGGGGTTGATGCACATGCAAGCAATCTTCTGTGAAGGCTTTTTGGTAGGAATGGGAGATTCCCAACAAGTGCAAACTCAACATAGTTCAATCCTAGTAAATGGGCTATTCTTGGGCTGCTGCAGAGAGGGGAAGTGGTGGGAGCCTCTACATAAGCCTGGCTGCCAGAAAGCAAAAACAAAAAAGCGATGTGGACTGGTTGGGTTTCGACATAGGCACTAAATACCACATGGTTTAACCCAGTGCTGGTTTCTGGTAAATGCACAGTGTGTGACATTACCTGAATACAGCATGGTGGGATCAGAGCGCGCACCATAGTAAGTGCCAAATACACATTTCTTGCTATTAAACCAAATGACTTTATATACCAGGTTTTTCCCCTCTCACTCTGAAGCATGGGCATTTGCCTTCCAGCCTGCCACACACTCATCTAATGAAATCTGCCTGTGAGATTATTGACTCCACTGCTGCAAGTGGGCAGTGAAACACTTGGCAGAGGACTTAGCGTGCCAAGCACAAGTGGCACAAAGCTCTGAACCATGATTTCAGACCTTGCATCATCTGATTTCCTCCTCCCAGGCTTTCTATTTAGAAAGACTGGACTGATAGTAAGTCCTGCAACAAATGTAATAACTAAGGTGGCATACATGCTTGTTAAGAGATATCAGTTGTACTGAACTCTTGCTGTGGCTTTGGTTCAGCAAAGAGCTTGGGCATCTGCTTGACTGTCTTTAAGTACACAAAGTCAGCATCATGTAAATTCAGGTTTATATGGTTTTTTTGCATCTGGTGCAGGATTAGAAAACAGTTTGGGTGAAAGCTAGATGTGGTTTCTGGTGCTGCCCCAGTCTGACGTCCATTTACTGTCATCTTATTCATATTGAGACATCTCCAGATCCTACAGAATGACTTGTGAGGCCAGATGCTGCTGAGTCTCACACGTAGCTTTCGGTTTTGTTCTTGCATCAGAGGGATATTGCAATTCAGAAGCTTTTGGTGTAGATCAATGGTCATCACTGAGCAGATAGGGCACTCACTAGGTTGAAGCATCAGTGGATGGTTTCTATTGGCATGAACTTGTGAAACAGCCAGGCTTGGACTGAACTTTTGAACATTAACTTCACCAGAGTGGGACTGCAGTGGCTCAGGGCAGCCTGAGCAGCTTTGGAGCTTCACAGCATCATGTCCTGGTGTAGCTGAGCTGAATTAAACTCCTCAGTTCCAGCCCTGCTCTGTTTACTCCTGTCATTTCTCCTGGGAAATCACCCTCTTGTCTTGAGGTTCAAAGTAAAGAGTAGGAAACAACCATGGGGTTGCAAGCTGCTTCATGCTGTAGTCTCCCGTTTCCCCATTGCCAGATTAACAGGAACCCAACATTGCTGAGATGGGAGCACAGCCCTGCAGCAGGGACCACCCCTGGATGTGATCTGTCAGCTGTGCTCTGGCCCTTTGCAGTGCTTCAGCCCTGTAGGCAGGTTGATAACCCCATGCCAAAGGCTTAGGTCATGAGTGGATGAAGATGCTGAGAGCTCTCAGTGGCTGTGCCACTGGACAGTGTCTGCTCTGGGTCCTCCAGGGCCATGTACTCCAGGCACCAGCTAGTGCACTGTGCTGGTGGCAGTGAGAGGGTCTGCAGCCTGGCTCACATGGGACACTGGCTTAAACCACTGCAGGTTTTCCGGGAGAAAGACTGTGAATACTCAGGGAATCACTCAATCACTGAGAAAGCACTCAGTCACATTTAGTGTAGGCAATGAACACACAAAATACCTACCTACAGCATCAGTAAGGGGAAAAGTGAGGTAAATCTTCAGATTCCAGGGATGAAATCCTGCAGCATATCAGTGTACACTTCTATTGTTATAATAATCTTTCCTGGCATGTTATATTTTTTACATGTATATATGGCTAATATTCTAAACCATGAAGTGCTTTGGGTACACTGTGATGGGATGCACAACAATACAAAGCTTGCAGCTGGTAGCCTGCCAAGGCTCTCTCTCTGGTGTATTTAGACACATGATGGATGGTCTCTGGCTTAGTGTCATCAGATAAAATGTGTTAGTCAAGCACATGATACATTATCTTGAAGTGCTGCAGTTTTGCAGCAGCTAACACCCTGACACAACACTGTTGTTTAAAAGGGAGATACGCACAGGATGGTCACATACAGATCAGGCATGAGGACCAGGTTCTCAATGGGCTTTTCTGGAAAATGAACCAGAGCTGCAGGACATCCCTGGGTATTGTTAAAAGGGTAGATTCCCTTCTCTTTGATTCGTTAGAGAGTGAGAGTTGGGGTTGGCAGCTCTGGCTGGAAAGCTTTTTTCCCACAGGGGCCCAAAGGGCCGAGTCAGGGCTGTACTTCTGCAGCAGAGGTGCAGGCTGCCAGAGGTGCAGTGCAGGGATGAAGAAGGGCTCAGGGTTAAAACCCTGCTGCCAGTCACATACAGACATGTGGGGATGTCTGAGGTCACACTGCACTGTACGCTTGCACGGATGGTTTGATTATACCTTGGTGACCGAGTGAGGATGCTGGCCACATCCTGCACCTCCATACACCCATGTCCTCTCCTACCACTCACCCTGGGTGTTCTTGAGAACAGAGCTGAGGCCACGTAGACCAGCTTCTGCAATATCTCCAAATAACATCTCAGAATACTCTGTGGTTCTTTAACAGCTTTTTTTGCGAGCAAAGTGGAGCATGAAAGCAAATACTGCAATAGCAAGGGGTTCCAGCGATCAGGATCCTCCGCCTTCGATCGTGTCTACACAGCCAAGTGAGTAGGCAAGCCCTGAGGAGCCGGTGGGGGAAGAGAGGGGTCCATCTCTCTCTTCATTAGGGTTTAAAACAAACCCTTTGGAGTCAAAAGGTGGACTCCCAGTGTCCTCAAATGAAGGATTCATCTGTAATCCCTTGCTGTGTGCATTGCAGCAGTGTTCAGACCTGTAGTTCTCTAATATGTTTGCTGGTGAACCCATCTCCCCTCTGGATGCTGTGCTATGTTTATGCTGGACTTTCAGCCCTTTGAGTACAACATCCCTCATTTGGGAACCATCTCACCCAGCAGTAGCTAATGCTGAAATGGTGACGATGCAAGCGCAGCCAGTGTCCTGGGGCACTGTGGCTCTAAGGGAAAGAGCTGGCAAGACAACAGCTCACTGAGGAGCAGGTTGATGGCAGAGCTCATACAAACCCCTTGGTCCACAGCAGCTCCCTTGGCATGTGGCTCTGCGTTTTGTACCTCTTGTCTTTGACATCCCTCCAGGGAGAGAAGAGGAAGGATAATTCCAACCCAGAAGAGAAAACATAAAACACTTTTTATTACCTGTGAAGTTCTGACGATGTGTTTGAAACTGGATGGGATGTGCAAGTCCTGCCCTTCACAGGTGTCCAACCTCTGCCCAGGGCAAAGTGCTTCCCTCTCAGAAAGCACTCCCAGCCAAAGGAGGCAGCTGGAAATCATTCCTGTTCCCCTGCAAAGACACGTGTTAACTCTGTGAGACACTCCTATTTGCAGTGCGATTTTCCTTTTGTTGGCTCCACGCAGCTTTCAATGCCAGTAACATGATTAATGTGACTTAATTGCAAGGATTTTCCAGGCCAGTAAAGCACACAGCATCTATTATACACGTGCCTTGATCAAACAGGTTAGAGGAGGAGAGCTTTCCCAGGTGCCAGGCATGTGCGCGGGGCGGTTTGTTTCCCTCACCAGGCAGGACAAAGGCATCCATTATCCGAGTAAGGGAACAGGGAAGCGGAGGTGCGGGTGAGGCAGCGCCGTGTTCAGGCACGGCAGGTGGTAACAGCCCCCCGGCAGTACTTACTGAGCCCAAACCCACGGTGTGCTGGTGAAACACGTTGCGTTTGTTTCTATTTCCCCGCGTTCTGATTTCTGTTGTGCAAACCCCTCCCCAGCCAGAACTGCGGACACGCGTACCCCACGTTCCTCGCTGTGCTCTGGTGCGCTGGACTTCTCTGCAGCCCAGGTAACACACACTGATTGTTTTTCCCTTCCATGTTGCCCCGCTTTCAGCAAGGGATGGTGAATGCTTTGGAGGTGATTCCCCTCCTGCGCCCTTCTGGCACGGTTTATGCCAACAGACATGTTCCCAGATGTGATTCAGGACAGTTCGGGCCAGGGGCATTTCCCATATAGGCATTACAGATGAGGTCCCTCTGTTCTGGGTGAACAGTTTAGTATTTGGATGCTGGGTGCCACATTATTCACCCTCAGGACTAGAAACGGGCTCGTTTGATTACACTGCCAGAGCTGCAGCTCTTCCCAGTGCTGAGGGCAGCCCAGGAATATCTACCTGCATTTCTATGATCCCCTTCAGTGCAATTTGAGTTTGCCTGAGGTTAAGATGGGTACTTTCCTGTTGTCTGTGGCTATTATTTTTGGAAAAGGGAAGTTCCTGACCAGAAGAAAAGAGTGTTTTGCCTGCAAGTGTGGGGAAAGTTAGAACTGAGGAGAAAGCCCTTATTTATGTGATCAGAAATGAGTACTGGACCAAAGTATAGTCCTCCACCTGCTCCTAGAGAAGTGCATGTATCTGCTTATCTGCTGCCTTTTACTTCCTGGTAAAGACAGACCCTCCTTCCTGACCCTGACATGGCCACACTGTGTTTCCAATGGGGATGAGTGTGTGCTGTGCAGTGGGCATAGCTGTGGGCAGGATTGTACCCACACAGTCTTTAGAAAAGCCAGAGCAAGGGCGAAGCAAGTACTCTGCTTCCCATGCACAGGTCTCCATCCTGGTTCCGACACTCATCCCATAACCCAGGGCTGCAGGTTCCAGTTTCCAGGTCCAGTGCAGGCAGCAGTTGGGAACAGCAGGTACAGTGAGACCTGGGCTGGTGTTTGTAACGTCTTGTCTTACCCTTTACCCAGCTCCTGCCGCCTTTGCCGGCCTGATGTACCTGTTTGTGAGGCAGAAGTACTTTGTGGGCTACCTGGGGGAGAGGACTCAGAGGTAAGGACTTGAAGAGCCTCTTCATGAAATCGGGGATGTAGCATCAGTGCAAGCGGATGCTGCCGCTTCCACAGGCACAGCTTCTGGCTCACGGTGCTGCCTGCAATGGCTGCTTGCATGGGATGGCACAGAGAAGCCCGCTTCTTCTGGAAGGAGCTGTGGGAGACACGGGAGGTGCTGTGGCTCTGGGGTGAGGGGAGCTGCAGGAACAGGGCGGCTTCTTCAGCGGCTCCTGCTCACACCTCTGTGAACGCACGTGTTTGTGTGTTTGTGCCGCTATTTGCACAAAATCATCCTTTCACATCACAAAAGCTCGTTACACACATGCAGAACAAGATTGTCCCACAGGCTGTCACGCAGAGAAGACATACAAATCCCTCTGAATGGCCACTTTTGTAAGCAGTAGCCTATGCTGAGCACAGGAGGCCAGACCCAGACCCAAATGGATGCAGAAAATGGCATTGAAGGCCTTGCAACTGCCTTGAAATAACAGAGAGAGAGGGAATTTGCCCACTCTATCTCAGCCACAAGGTCTTTCAGCAGGTCTCAACAACAGAGTCCGAAGTCTGAGGACTTCTTGCGTGAGGTGACATGCATTAATGTTAAATGTTTTTTTCCCCTTTCTATCTCCTCAGCACTCCTGGTCACTTGTTTGGAAAGCGCATCATTTTGTTCCTGTTCCTCATGTCCGTGGCCGGAATACTCAACTACTATCTCATCTTCTTTTTTGGAAGTGACTTCGAAGTGCACATAAAAACCATAACCAGCGCGATCTCTCCGTTGTTGCTCATACCCTAGCTCCCCATAGCACTGAGGGGGTCAGCATGCTTAATGTATTGATACCCAGAAGCAGCCATAATTCAACTGTTTAAGAAATGAACCCATAACCCTTTTAGATTGCTGTAAATCTCATGCTTGATGGGCTTTGTAGCTTGATTTAACCTTGCTCTTCCCTTCAGGAAAAAGATTTATCGTGAGCCCTTGGCATGCCTGCAGAATGGTAACATCTTCCAGTTAATTCTCTGGAGTTTTTTCTCTAAACTGCAGTTTGTGAGCTGATTGCATGACTGGAAGGGACATTGTATGCTTGCTTTGTAACTGTTGTACTAAGCTTTTGCCCCAAGACCCAGGAGCCCCTCAGTGCTGTTGCTGACCAATGGCTTCTGCAGTTATCCTCATGGACAATCAGAGCCTTTCGCCATCATCCCGCACACCTTGGCCCAGCAAAGGCATGGCCCAGCCTCTTCACCTACCCTTCCCCTCCCACTTGTTGGTGACTGAGCTCCTGCTGCTGCAGGGCAGCAAATTCGCCTGTGTCTGGTCTTCCTTGATAAATATTCATGTGTGTAATGCTCTTGACACTGGTCTCATCTACTCTTCAGCCTTTTTGTTCTTCCAGAGATGTGGAAAGGGGTTTTAAGTAAATGAGGAGCTGGAGTATTGACAGACGGGTTGGATTTGGCTTGCTTTGCTTTGTTTAATAAAACAGTATAAAAGGAAGAAATCTGTTTGCTCCCATCTTCTATACCTGGTGCATGATCTGTGTGCTCCACAGCCCAGCAGCTGGCTGGTAAGCGAAGCAAGAGCAGCAGCACCAGGCTCACTGCAGCCCTGCATACACGAGTTTAACAGCTTCCTCTCTACGAGCAAGTTCAGTGTTCTGCCTCTGTCTCTAACAATGTGCCCCTACAAGTCCATACCAAGGAGTGACTGGATTAGAGAAGAGGACTGAGGCAGGCAAACAGGCCAGTGCAATCTTTCTAAGCATTGCTACCCTATGAGTGCTTAAGCTTTTAAGCCTGTCCGATTGCTGCATGCAGGGTGGATAAAGCTGTATTTTATGACTCCTTTGGGAGGGACAGGGACAGAGACAGAGACTCCTCACTCTGTGAGAAGAGGGTTTGCAGAGCTGTTGGCAAAAGCAGGCACAGAAAACTGCCTGCCTTTTGTCCCACTGCAAGGCTGGTGCCTTTTTGTTGCTGCCGATGGGGCAGCCGCTCTCCTCTGCACCATTCACACTGCAAAATAACACACAAGGGCTTTTTCAATCTTCTACAGGGATTTTAGATGTGAAAGATTAATAATAAACATATTTATTACATGATGATTGGTTAATAAATGTTCTCACTGGTTAGAATAGCTAATTTAAAAAATGCACTCTAAGCTCCTAATCTTAGAGCTGCTGAGACACCTTATTCCCAGGTACAGCGCCTAGGTTCCTTCCCTCCCCTCCTTCTCAAATGACTGTAACACACTCCAAACCCTGCTTCACATCATGTTTCTCTGCCACCGTTTCTCTCCGCAGCTCATCAGCCGCCTCCCATCCTTGGTGGTGACCCACGACCCTTCTGCCCCATGGGGTCACCCCACTGCGGGAGGGCAGCACCTCAGGAGGAGAGGGGTAGCCCCTGTGTCCTGGAGTTACAGAACTCTTCCCCATTGCTGGTATCAGCAATGTCAGACCGACGCTGCTGTTAGCTGGTTCGGAGGAGAAGATGGTTTCTTCATAGCACCACAGTTCCTGGTCTCCAGACATCCTGGTCTCCCTGAGGGCTGAGACTTGGTTATGGAGACCATCAGTTCTGGCCACAACAAGTTGTGGTCCCAGACTGTCCCAACCCTTTGTGTCCACCTTGTAGGTCTCCCCAGCTGGATGAGTCTCCCTGGTGCCTTTTTGTCCTCTATAGCAAGAAGTAGCTCACTTGACTTCTCTCTGATGTCTCCTGCTAGCATGAGAAAGGGCTCTCCACCAGCCAGCTATAAAGGGCAGATGATTCAAGTGTCCGTTTTGGGTCAGACAGTCTATCACAGCACTCTCAGGCCTCTCTGCTGACTCAACAGTTGGTTTCTACACAGAAGTATTTAGGAAGTACCAAGTCATCTTCTGAAGGAACTAAGGTCCATTTTTTTCTGTAGTAATTTATTTTGCAATAATATCTCCTACTTACTTCCTCAAAGCCTTTCTAATAACAAAAGAGATGAAAATGTAGGCAAAACCTATTTTCCATCTAGCTATATATGGAAAGGTGATAGCATCAGACAAACGGCTGGTACACTATGTAAATTCTCTGTGATCGTCACACTCTGTTGGTTTAAGCCTAGCCTGCAACTAAGTACCACCCAGCTACCTGCTCGCTCATCTCTACTCCCCAATGGGATGGGAGGGAGAATTGAAACAATGCAAAAACCTGTGGGCTGAGATAAGAACAGTTTGATAATTTAAATAAAAATAAAATATTGTAATAATAGAATAATATTTACTTCTATATTATAGTATAGATATAATTTATTATTATTATTATTATTATAGAAAGAACAGAAGAAACCACAAGTGATGAACAATACAAGCGCTCACCACTCACTGACCAATACCCAGCTCGACCTGAGCAATAATCTGCCCCTCTGGGTAACTCCCCCCAGTTTCTATACTGGGCATGAAGTGCTGTGGTATGGAGTACCTCTTTGAACAGTTTGGGTCAGGTGTCCTCTGCTTCCTCCCAGCTTCTTGTGCCCCTCCTCACTGGCAGAGCATGAGACTGAAAAGTCCTTGATCAGGATAAGTGCTACTGAGCAACAACTAAAAACATTGGTGTGTTATCAGTGCTGTTCTCAGACTGAAGCCAAAACAGAGCACTGCACCCGACACTAGGAAGAAAATCAACTCTATCCCAGCCAAAACCAGGACATCATGTTGCAGGCAAGCCCTGTGGTTGCATTTACCTTCCCACCCTTCCTGAAAATGGCAGGCAGTGTCAGTGGTTTGGGGGCTTTCCTTGCTGTGTTCGACACCTCCAGTTTTCAGTTTTGGCAGTAAACCCACCCTGATCTTGTCAGTAGTTACCATAACTTTGCATACCAGCTATGCAGAAAGCTGCAAGCGTAGGCTCCTTGCAGGGGGGTTGTAACTAGATGACCTTAAAGGTCCTTTCGAACCCAAACCATTCTATGATTCCATGACTTTATAAATCCACATGCAAAAATACACAGCTACTGTGAAAGCTGTGCAGGTGAATAGTGGGGTCACATATACATAAACCTACTAGGACCTGCGGAGCTGCGATGGATGTGAGGACATAGCTGGTGGCAGAAGTGGCAGTCCTCTCTGACATCTTCTGTTCAAGGCTGGTTTGCAAGCTCCAGGGCCAGCACCCATGTTTGGTGCAGTGCACAGCACAGCAGCTCCTGGCCTGGCACGGGGGCTGTATGTGAACAGCTATTGCTCCCCATCCCGCTGATTGCACCAGTGCTGCTAATTGTCCTGTTCGCTGTGTTGCCAGGCTGTGGGCTTTGCTCATGCATAAAACCCCAGGCACATGCATACATATTGTCTGTGTGTGTACTGCATAGATACAGTGTGTTTACTTACTATATCTGTGTGTGTGTATATGTGTATATATGTACAGTAGGTGCTGAGTCATGAGAATGCTAGAGGCTTTCCAGGGACTGCAGGGAAGCAGGCTGCTCAGGCACCAGCCGTCTCACAGAGTGCAGGCTGTGTACATCAGAGACTGCGGAGGCTGCTGGAAGCTGGGCTGTCGCAGGATGCTTTTGATCTGCTGACAAGGGCCTGGAGTACATACAGTATTCCTGCCACAGTAACCGCATCTGCTTCCGTACAGCACTACAACCCTCTAGTGGAAAGTCGGTCCTATCGGCACGCCGATGCCTCTGGCAATGGGATGAGCGGTTCCTTTGAGGTTTGAAGCCTGATGGTGATGCAACAGAATCCACATTTCTGAACAGATGCATTGCTGCTCTCAAATGCTGCTTTTTATTTTTCTGGCACACAGGAGGGCTAGTCCTGAAGCTGGACCCCTATCCTACCTATCCCAAAGAGAGCAGTCCTGCTTAGCGCGGGTATGAGCAAGCAGGTAACATCCCAGTGGGATAAGAAAACTATGCGCACCACCCACAAAGGATTCCTGCAGTATTTTCCAGATTCCCAGAACATGCAAAACCAGCCTGTGCAGTATCAGCTTCCTCTGAGTCACATTTGTGCTAAGACAAGTTTCCAAATGAGTCTCTGAGTATTAGAAAAGCAGTTCTGCTGGCATGGAGCAAAGACTGTCCCTGGGCAGCTTCCTCAGCTCCCTCCTGCTCTGAGATACTTTCTTTAGGAGAGGGGCTGCTTTAACACTCACAGAAACCTTCCAAATGTCCTCTCTGGGTGGGATGCTGCAAATCACCAACCACTGGCCCAACTCAATGATTGCTCCCATGAAGGGAATGCTTGGAAATAGTCCACCCTTAGTAAGTGAATAAGTGAAACCACAGTATGGAATGAGAAGAGTGTTAAAAGTATTCCCTGGGTGATTTTAAATTGGTCTCATGTCCCAGCTGGGATGAGCAGGATAAGCATTCCCATGGAAAAACCCCTTGGTGAGCTGCAGAGCCTGGCACAGCCCAGCAGCACCCTTGCAGGAGGCATGGTGACTCCAGCAGATTGAAGTCCCATCTGAGCACCCAAGGGACAACTACAAGCTTCCCAATCCCTTTTGGTAATGAAGACTGATGTCCCTGGCTGTCTGGGAGGGTGCAGGACATCTCAAACTGTGGCTCCTCTCAAGGAGGCTCAGTGCTTCAGGGCAGTAGGACGCAGAAGCAGGCTCTGCATGCTAACTGGCTGCAGCAGAGGAAGAGCTGCTTTTAACAGTACTGTAGTGAGCCTCAGGAAAAGACATCCTGTGGAGAGGACCAGCTCAAGCTGCTGCCTGTCCACTGCCCCTCTGTGTACCTGCTCTGGCAGAGGGAGGATGTGGGAAGAGAGCATCAGCATTGCTCCATCCATCCTGCCTGCCAGAGACAGCATCTCAGTGCTCCCAAGCAGCGCACAGAGACACGAAACCTGGCAAGAGTGAGATTCCTACCCCAAAGGACAAACGGCCTCCACACTGAGCTGGCTTTCCCTTTAGAGGAGAAATAAAGAACTTTTCAATTTCATCTGCAAGGATCTTCACACTGTGAGATGATTTCATCCGACAGACAAGCTCCTGGGGCTTCATGCTGGCTGCCTACTGAGCTGCTTGGGTGCCGTCCACTGGGCGCTTCCTGCTCATCCCCAGGGGAAGGGGATCCGGTGCCAAAGTGCCAGCTGTGATGTCAGGCAGGAGGGCAAATGTTGTGTGATTTTCATCTAAAAAAATAAAGGTGTGGTGGTGCTGCAGTGGAATTCAGCTCATGGTTACGGCAGTGCCGTTCCTGCCGCATGGGAGCTGGCAGGGATTGCTTGGGTGCCATGATCTCTTGCAAGGCCAGGGATGCTTTGAAGGCTTACAAGGGCTGCTGCCTCCTGCACTGCTATTTGCCACCGCTTGTACAAGCATATGGTTGATTTATTGCTCCTGTGTTATTGTTCCGACCCAGCAAGAGCCCCCTCAGTGCTCTAGGATTAACCAGAGCAGTGCGATGTCCCCTAGCCAGCCGCTTCACACCTTTTGTGTTGTGTTTTGTGCTGCAGCAAAAGGATTTCTTTTCAAAGGGCAACACCAGCCTTCCCACTGCCCT